TCAATGTAAGTTTTTAATCTATCATTTCCATAGTATAGACTGTCAACGTTCCATAACTCATTACTGAGTATTCTTCTGATTGAATAGTTTCATCACAAGCTCATTACAGTTCATCTACAGCTAACAGTGTGATATTGCATATAGAAAGCTCCTAAAAATAGATTTTTTAGGCTTCTGGAAGAAATTTAAGGATGATAGGGTTAAAATGCTGATAGACTGAGATTGATTGGTTTGAAGAGCTACTTCTAGTAAAGCTGATTTTCAAGAGATTATCTCGTAGCCTTTTTCCTTGTTTTCAAGGCTTACATTGGATTTATTCTTGGATTTTAAAAATGCTGTAGGGGAAATTTGAATGGGTTAAAATTAAAGAGCTGACGCAATGATGTTGATACATTAAAGGTAATCAGATAATCTTGGCCTTAAGGAGCCTATATGATGTAATGTTGTTACAAGTTCTCTAGTCAGGATACCTTTCATTAGATGATATAATCAAACATTGATTTCAAACAGTAAAATATCTTATAAAGTAGCCTAATATTGAATATTTTTAAAATGTTTAATAAAATTCTTAGTAAATTCAGCTGACATAAAATTCAGTAAACGTAATCATAACGTATAATAAATGCACGTTTCCATTTCCGAAACAGAGCCACAGTTATCAAAATAGCTCAACAAAAGCAGAAATTCCCCGGAAAATCCAGCCTCAGCTAAAAAATGTAATCCCCGCCGTAGCGACATTTTATTTTTGGCTCCACTCGCGGGAAATGAACTGCTCTTCCCCCCGATGCAAATATTGATCCCGAGAGCTGGTGTGTAACACAAAAAACAAAAAGGACAAGGAGAACGAGATAAGGATCTCGAATTAAAATACCCGCACCCATAGTCATTCGATATTCTTGGCAGCTCGTCAAGCTCATAGTATCCACACGCAACTCGAGCAATCAAGATCAACCCTCTCCCTTACCCCCCCTCCCCCTCGGGTTATCTCTGTAAGGACCAACACAACGACGAAAGTGTCTTCACACGCATGCTCGTAAAAAATTTTCACAGTCGGCTGACGTAAAGAAGCCTCTACATAAAAGCCTCGCCCAAGCCAACTTTCGCATTCAATAGAGCAAGGGACAGAGGAGCAGTATTGAATCCCCGAAAGCTCCCCCGTTGAAAAACAAAGGAAAAAAATCGTCAACCTCACCATCTGCCGCTGTTATCCCCCAAATAACGATTGTTCCACACCAAGCCTCGGGCGTTCTTTCTGGAGCCGGTCCAACGGTCCCCCCCCCCTCCCACCTACCCCGAGCGAGCGGTACTCCTCTCTTGTTTTTCAGTGTTTTTTACTCGCCAGCGGCGCCGCTCCTCATTCTCCACCACCGTTCATCCATCCCTGCCCTCCCCGGTCTCATTTCTCCACTAGCTCGCGAAATAACGGTGCCCGTTAACAATCCCCTTCCGTCGGTGTTTATCAAGATTTAGAGCTGCACCCGCCCACCGAATTTACCACGCGCGCGCGGATGGAAGCTGGCGCGAAGAGGAGCCATCGGGAAATAGGAGAAAATTCGTCTAGACGTCTTCGGGAATTAACTAGGCTTCCCCCGCAGGTTTCTTCGATTGCCCCTTTTTTTTTTTTTTTTTTCTTTTAGTAGTACACGCGAGGAGCCTTTAATTGAGTGGTGGTTCGCCACTGTGCACACCTTAGAGATCTTTGCGTCGGTTGCTTTTTCGTGAATTTGAATGATTCGTTTGGGATGGCAAAAACATTTTGGATTCACTCGCTTTGAATACTCTCTCTTCTACTTCCAGTGACTGAAACTCAAATATTAAAAATTCTTTTTGCACTTTGTGCAAGAGCTGCTGAGATAAAAAAGGTTACTGCTACACTCTGTTTCGGATAAAAAATTCAAAGCTACTATACCCAACAACAACAATGAAAACAGCCTCTCGTTTAGTCTTGTAACACAAACATTTATTGTACGGTAGACTGAAAAAAAAAAAATCACAACCTCCTCTTTCTCCAGTGGAAGGATTGAAAAATTCAGTAGTACAAGTCAAGCTCGAGTCAGACGATCAACAGATGCTGTTGTTATTCGTTTGTTCGTGGCCATACACGCGCGTCGGCGCGTGCAACGTTTTGCTTTTACTTTCGAGGGCCCGTGGAGCGTGTGTTTTCCTCGTTATCCGCAACAACAACAACCCAACTTCGACAACAATGCACATCGTTTTACGCACTTTACGTGGCGAAATAAATATTTAGCGGCTCGTAATGGAGTTCAAAGCCGGGTAACGACAATATTGACAGTGAGATACACAACGGACATGTGGACTCAACGATCAGTTGAATCAGAACAATACGACAACAATGCCAGCGTTCCCAGATGATATATATGGTTCAGGAATGTACGGGACGAAGGGATTATCATGCAAGCTCGAGGTGCAAGTATACCCTGGCAATAAAGTATTAATTCTTGTGTACGCTTTTGATCGAAGGGAAAATTTTACGTGCAATTTGCAGAATTTTTACTCGCATGTAAGCACGACACTCATCGAAAAAAAGGGAATATGGCTCCAAGAGTCGGGGAACAAGCGCGTCCCAACGGTGTACACACGTCAACGTGAAAGAAGAAAAAACACAAGTAGCTCTCCTTTTTGACAATAAATAAAGTAGAGAAAGAAGCGATACGGAAAAAGACGAAGAAGCGTAGTGCGTAGTGGCTTTTACATTACTTTTTCTGCACAGGTATACATATGTATACATGCTTACAAAACGACTCATCCATCTTTCTCCTTTCTCCACCCACAATCGTTTTTTTTCATTTTTTTTCTTTTTTCCACGAATTCACGTATCCAGAACTCCCGGCCCTGCACATTAAAAAAAAAAAAATTCCGCCGTACACAGGCTTCTTCTTGCCAAAGAGGGGAAAAGCGCGCGCCACTGTTGGATTTCTCTTTGTGGAGTGTTCGATAAATTTTTGCAGTTTTTTTTTTTTACATTTGTTTGAGCATTTTCAAGAGAGATATGTGAGCGCGTACTCTGTCGTTTGGAAAAACAGTTCGTTAACTCGATCAAACCTTTCGTTAATAATACGTTTGTTTTGAATTCGATGCTTTTACGCCCGCCTTTGATGCTGTTGTTTGATTTTTACGTGTGTGATTGTTACTCACAATAAGAACAAAGAGTTATTATACAGCTGTTGGATTTTATATCGTGAGTTTTTTTAACTGTAAAATTCAATTTAAAAAAATTTTATATTGTTTATTTGTTTATTAAATCAAAGTGTTACTTAGATTTTACTATTTCAATCAATTATTTCAGGTATCTCAATTTAAGAATTATTTCATCGTCTCTTATTATGGATAATAAGAACAGGAAGCATAGTTTTATGGACGAGTTTTATGTTATTTTATTTTTAACTTGAAGACCAAATAATAATACATCAGATACGTGTGATAATCAAAACCCTTTGAGGTAGGTAATAAAAACAGGAAAAAAAAATTATTCTAAATGATAGTTAATCAGAAATCGAGGCATGCATATGAAAATAATTTGTTAGTAGTTTTCTACTGTGAAATTGTCTCTCAAATTTTTACTAAATTTTCGTCCTAAAGACCAGACATCCCCCTTACCAGATTTTAAGTCTCCCCCTCTGATGCCCCCTTTTAATTCTTTAAAATAATTTTAGTTATAGCAATACTGAGAATGCACTCAAAAGATAAAACATTACAGTAACAGAACTTTTTGAAAGATCGTACAGAATTTCATTTGGAAACTACAGTACATCTAAAGTTTGACAGATTTTGTAAACATTTTCAGGGAGTGAAAAAAAAAAAAACAAATAAAACTAAATCCTGCGAATAACATATTTTACCAACTAATAAACTTTTGTATAATTATGAGCTGTAATTATCATCATTGAGTTCTATACAAATGTACAAAGTTGTTTTAATTGTATAAAAACTCCATAGAAGAGAAACACGAATGTACCCTATTTTCAAGCAAGTGAATGGGGCCGACTTTGACATTAACGGTTGAGAAAACTGTGCTGTAATTAAGTCTCAGGTTTTAATACGAATTTATTAACAACTTAAAAAAAAATATATATTTTAATGGTTTTTCATTTTATAACGCAATTGTTTAGTATAATGAAGGAAAAAATTACACGTCTTTTATAATATCCATTGCGAGTAGATGTTTCCCTTGCATGCAATCATACACAAAGGAAGGTAATTTCGCGGTAAAAAAAAAAAATTAGTAGGGATATTTTTCATCTTATTTCTTCAGGGCTCGACAGCATTTTTATTACTTTTTCTCTCGAAACAAAAGTCGATGTATATTTAAAAAAGAGCAAAAAGCAATTTCACTTCGTCTCAAAACAAATAATTAGTTCCGCAAACTTGACGCGTAATAGAGAAGCTAACGCAGCAACTGTGCCATGTCGCGTCGCAGTGGCCGCAATTTCAGCTGGATTGTGTTGATTTTTATTATCCTCGCGCTTCAGCCGAGCACTCGCTCGTTGTTTTCAAATACATCTTAATCATATGTTTTTTCCACCCGACGATGTCGCCGATGGAACTCGTCCCTTTGCATCTACAATGTTTACGCGAATGAAAGTTTGGCCGTTTTTCAACGTTAATTTAGCACTGCGGCTCATCGTAGCTCTATTTTTCTATTTTTATTGCATCTGTTGATACATCTCCTCGCTGGGCCATCGTCGAATAAACAAAAATTCAATTAAAACGACAGTCAAATTAAATTACGCTTTTTGTTATTTTTAGTTTACTGCCAGTGGTATAAATGAAGAGAAAGAAAAATAACTATATCGTATCGTTTTATTGAAAGCAAAAATTAATATTGATTTCCTTACAATTACCTACGTTGGAATGGAAGAAAAAAAAAGGATTTTATTGAGTCCTTCGTTGTTTTATTTGTCCAATCAATAAACATTAAGTATGTCCGATAAAGCCCCATTCTCAACAGCTAAAACGATTCTTCCCCCCCGAAAACTCACCGAGCAGTACATCCTCGTCAGGGTCGCTCTGCAGTTCGAGCTCAAGGTCCCCAATGCCGTGGCGATTGTCGAAGGGCTGCATCTGCTGCGGATCGGCCGCCATGTGTCTCAAAAGCGCGAGTCGCCGCTGCTCCCGGAGCTCGGCTGCAAGCCTCACCTCCTCGAGATAGCTGGCGGCGAGAAATTCGGCCAGGATGGAGACGTAAGGCGAGCCGGTGACCGGCCTCGAGCCGGCCTTCAGACAGCCGGGCAGCCCGAGTCTGACGAGGCCGCAGGGCACCGAGACAGCACCAGCACTCGCGAGCCCACCGTTCACCAGCTCGCCGCACAACATAGGGCCCGCGACCGGCGCACAAAGCTCTCTCGTCTCGAGCTCGGACTTGGCTGTTGGATTTTCGTTTGGACTGATCGCCCGTCAACTTCTGGACCGTTGGTGGACACTGTCTAACACGGGAATGAGAGTGGCTCTTTGGTGGGTGACTCGGTCGTGTTACCTGTAAAAATAATGTAAATACTTAATTGCTGGTGTGGACAACAGTTTACAGAAATTTCAAAGTGATCGAGAAATAATTAAAGTAAGTTTTATAAGGCGTTATTTTGTCTATTCTGATAAGTACTTAATCAGCGGATTAAATATAAAAAGAGAGCACTTGCGTCTTTAAAGCAAAGTTTTCGTGTTACTTTTTAACACAAATTTTTATTTTTAAATCAAAGTTGATTGTTTGTTCCAAAATTCACTTAAATTTATAACCACATGTACACTTACAAGACATTAGTTGTGTCGATAAAAAAGTAATAAAACTAAAATTACTTTACTTTTATCTTCATGTCTGTTGGCGTGATGTGACCTGGCGTGATATTATTATTGTCATTCCTATTTTAAATTTCATTTTTATTTTAATCCATGATAGAAATAAACACAATGTTCTCTTTATTTTTTTATAATTATAGTCATGCAATCTATCGCTAATCTCTGAAATATTTAGTTTGTCGATTAAACAATTGCTATTCAAATTTAATTTTCAAATTAAATTCTTTTCATTTAAGAATCAAATTAAAATGTTTAATTGATTGGTATTTCAATTAACAACCAAATTTAATTATTTCGTAAAATACATCATCAATAATAATTTGTCTACTCCTATTTGCTTTTTTCTTGAAGTGTACTTATCTATCGGACTCGATTGACGTTGTAAATTGTATTCAATTCAAAAAATATGTGATTCATAGTTAAATCATATTGTAATCAACAATTTTATTTAATTATTGATTGGAACTTTTTTCATAAACTTTTTGATTTGATATAGCATGACAGTTTTCATCTACCAATTATTAATGGCTGAAGCTCCAGAAAAATTCTCTGTATCTTTAATCATCGATTGCTCTAATCAACCACAATTGCAGAAAAAAATGAAATAACAAAAATAGACGCGCTCCTTGCTTTCGAGGTAACATCGTTTACCTTTCCTTCCACCATCACCTGAACTGAACCTTAACTCTTGCCTCCCTCCACCCACTTCCTACAGTCTATCCCGTGTATATACTATGGCTTTCTCTTTGCTCCGCTCCATTTCACTTAATTTAACGGCGACGTTACACGAGAGCACGCTATCGTACAACCTGGTAGTTGCTTCGAGCCTGAAAACTCCCTTTTTTCAGCACTTTCATCTCCTTCTTTGTTATCGTTCTTTATTTATTATTGTTATTATTTTTTTTTTAATATCCCCTGAATTTTTTTTTGTAAATCCTCCCACTTTCATCACCTAGACGTATGCTTGTCTTATTTGACTTTGAAGAGAAATGGAAGTGGAACCTAAAAAGGGATAAAATAGTGAAACAGTATCTAGGCTTACAGTATGGCACTTCATGCCCCATGAAGATTTATTGTAATTAAATAAATAATCAAATGTTAAGACTACAGTTTTATGTATACTTTATAGAATAAAGTTATGTCGTCTGTCTATTTGTAATACCGGTATCGGAACATAGTCTTAAGCTATTTTAACTCCACATTTGTAAATTTATTTCTATTCACACAAAAAACTCCTTGCATTTTGTCATATGTAAATTTATTATTTGATAACCATGTATCTAAACTGTATGGATCGTATGGTAGACAAACGAGCTTGTAATAAAATCACTTCAAATCTCCATCTTTATCTCACCATCCTGAGTTCTAATTAAGTAAAAGATTATCGAATATTAAGGATTAGAGGTAATTAAATTATAGATGAAAATCTAACGGAGTAAAAATAGTTTTATTCGGTTTGGAATCAATGACGTGTTTAAAACTTCATCGACCGAGAGCTTTCATTCATTTATGTAAAATCTTTATCTCGTTTTTATTGTTATACTTATAAACATTCAAGCATGATGATATAAATTTAGCAAGCACAGTTTTTACTGGGAATAGATGAGTTTACATATTTTTTTCAAACAAAAAATGTAAATTAAAAACTTATTAGTTGTATTCTTATAATTTAAGCATTAAAAATATCATGAACACTCTTATACTTAATTTACAATGTGTAAATAATTACAAAACAATATTATAATGTCGATTCCTGCAAAACTTAACTACCTAATCATGACTCTTGATCATTTCAAAGTTCACCCACAAACCATCATCAACAACCGCTGCAAACGTGCTAGTATTTAATCTTAGGGGTCCTTTCATCCTCGGTGATTTCCGTAAAGTATAGTTTTTCAGCAATACAGCAGTTATGGCCTTCACAATCATTGTGCCCATCCTTTTTCCCGGACACACCCTTGGTCCTGTCCCAAATCCTAAAAAGGTGTATTTGTGCCATTTTGATAGGTTTTTCGGATCAAATCTGTCAGGTTCAAATTCCGTGGGATTGGACCAAAACTCCTCATCCATGTGCATTCCCATGGTCGAAATGATAACGATATCCTTTGGTCTCAGCTGACAAGACAATTTGTCGTACCCCTCTAATGTGATTTCACTGTTGCAGATCTTGATAATGTCACCAAACACCGGGTGCAGTCTCATTGTCTCCATCATCACTCGCTCCAAATAATCAAGATTATTTACAGCTTCGTAGGTTAATCTATTATCAAATCTGCGTAATACTGACATAACTTCTTCGCGAGCCCTATCTTGCACTTTTACGTTTTCAGAGAGACGGTAGATCATGAATCCTAGAACGGAACTCGTGGTCTCGTAACCATCGAAGAGTATAGACGTTGCCTTGGCTATCAACATATCCTCGTCAGTTACGCTCAGATCTTCCATGGAAAATTGCAAGTAATCACCACTAACCTCTCCACTCTGCAATCTTGTCGTGGCGAAATTCTTAATGTGGTTCTTAATAAAATCACTGGTTTCCTTTGGTACGATACCTATCCTCATGATCTTAGCAACCTTAGGTAGGAAATAGAGTATCAACTGATGAATGTACCTCACAATACTGGGGTCAAAAATATCTTTGGCGATATTAACGATGGAATAAGTTCCAGGCTGATTCTCGAAGCTGTGTCCCTCCATTCCAAAGGCCGAATTGGCTATAACTTCTGCACTGACCTTCGAAAACAGATCCTTCAATTCAAATTCAGCTCCACCATCATCCTTGCGAAATTTGTTTATGTGTTTCATCATTCTATCGCACACACGTGAAACTACGACAAGCATGCACTTTAATCTTTTGCCGGAAAAGTTCTTGGACAATAACACTCTTGACTCCATCCACAAGTCATCCTTGGCGAAAAATGGATTCTTGGATAGTATGGGATCCTCGTGCTCGTGCACTGATAGTAGATTATTGCAAAAGCTTGAAAAATTACTTTGGAGCACGTTTTTTATGAGATTTGGATCACGTAAAACTATCGCCGGCGTCCTCATGACGTAGCATCCGTACATGCTGCTCTTGCCCATGGCCAGGTGGAACTTTTGGACCAACGTACCCATGTGGTGCCGTAGAGTGAACAATGGCAAAATGTGTCCAAAACCTGGCACTGGATACCGTTCGTGGGGTACATTTTGCTTGTGCCAGTGGTTGTAATTTTTGACTAGATAAAGGTATATCAAGAGACATATGACTGAAGAAGGTAAGATAAACGCTAGATCCATTGTCAGCTTACTGTTCTGAAACTCCGACATGTGAGTAAACTTTATATACTTCTCAATAGACTGGACTACACGTGATCGAGCTCAAGAGATAAGGCTTAAGATAACGTTGAATGTGTGCCTTTCATCGATGCAATTACTGACATTATTCACCTCTCAAAACAAAAGCTTATAATACACAGACTTACGAGTGATTCGTTATTTGAATGAATCTTCTTAATTTCGGATATCCCTCATGGATTATAATTTATCTTATCTTTGGTATCCTTAAAAAAACTTATTTCTTTTAACAGTCTCTGTTTTCAAGCGGAGTAGTTTTAGTTTTAGTTCAGTTGTTACAGCTTAGTTAATGTTTCACAACGTTGTTGCAACAAAATAACTAAATAGCTTCAGCTTTAGTAACTAAAACAGAACTCATCCAATAGAAAGCGAACACACTTGACACAATAGTTTTTTAAATAATTTTTGTTATCACTATTGTCTTTCATATATTTATTTAAAACACGTACCTCAAACCATAAAATAATGATAAAATGTACAATAATTTTTATAAGGCAGTTTCTTTTCAATATTAGTTCATGCTACCTGTAAGTCAGTGCAACAGTTGGAGTTATCAATTCTTAGCAGTCATAGACACTATTATTGGAAAATTGTGAAGTAAAATTTCTAATCACAGCATGCGAGCACACAGAAAGTTTTGTTTTTTCATATTAACTAAGGTAACATTCGTTAAATTCTGCCTTGTCTCAAGTTTTAATTTACAATTAATTTTTTTGAAACACAAACTTTCTCAAAAATTAATAAGTCTTGAAAAAATTGAAGTTGTAGGGATATTAAAAAAAAACAATAAAAACAGTGCTTCTAGAGTAAATTGACAAAACAAAAATCAAGCGTACATTGTACTATTTTGGAGTTGGTAAAAAAATGTAATCAAATATTCATTAATACATCACATAAATTGTTATGTTAAACAACATAGAAATAATAGACAATATTCTAATCATCATGTAATCTCTTGACGAAGGCGCTTGCTCACATTAAACCCGAATCTGAGTTAGCGCTTTAAGTAAAAGCAAGAATTTAGAGTTGAGTGACGTTAGATTTGATAACTCATTTTACGCAGCTAGAACTTTTATTTGTAATGCAGGACACAGCAAGAACAAAAAAATTTCAAGTCTCGTGTGGTCATTGTTTATTTAAATGGAAACAAAATAAAAATAAAATGAGAAACTGCATAAAACTGCGGCAGTCAGTAAATGAGACTTAAGTGCAACATCTCTGCTTCACGCAAGGACGACGACGACATAGACGACGAAGAACCGATCCCATTTCGGATGGTTTTACGTGCGTGTATGGGTGCGCAGGTGCAGTGTAATACGCACGGATCAGAGAGAAAACAAAGCAGGAAGGAAGAGAGCGAGCTCTCGCGAGACGTGATTTAGCAGCGACGGATATTTTCGTCGTTGACGTCGTAAAGCCAACAAACTCGACGTAATTGTATCCCTTCGTCCTTCCCGCCGTCTGTGGCCAAATGAGATTTTACCTCAGCTATACGCGCTGCTTGTCTCCCTCTCGCTGTAACTCGCATCCTTCCTTTCTTCCTTTTTTTCCTTTTCTTTTCTTGTCTTTGTAGCTACTCTCGGTTTTAGCAATATGTTGACTTTCCTAACTTCACTATATAGATCCTTCATTGTATACCTTACCGGACGACACAAACTTTTCGTAATTTAAAATGATCGCATTGCTGCTGTTATTGTTTTTATCATAGCTCCTTCGTACGCATAAATGTATCACCTGGTGCAGTGGAAAAGTTTTTCACCTCTAGCAAAAAAAAAAAAAAAAAAAATGAAATGAGAATCCTGTTACTGTGTACGTAATAATTGCGATGTTGCACGATGAAAAGTGAATTCCAAATTTATACTAAACTTATTTCACGCTTTTACTCTGTCAAAATTCTTTTAGGCCTCATATTGCATATTTAAGGACAGTATTTAATGTGCAAGCACTGCGTTGAAATTAAAAAGCTCATTTTTTTTTTTTCAAAGAGACTAAAGTTCATGTAAGTTAATTAAAATTCAGTCAAGCTTTAGACCGTGCCAAATTAGCCAACTAAGCTTTTACAATATTGATCACTTTAAAATTAGTAACTTATTATAATCGACAGTATCTTGCACTACATTAACGTCTAAAATAGGATATAATCAAACGTTAACAGCATATATCTGGCGTGCAAAAAATTTTGGACAAAACAATAAGTTTCCAAGTTTTTTTTATGGTGTTTTTCATTTTATGGGTAATTAATTACGTAAAAATATGTTGCCATTGTCTCAAAAAGTTTACATCCAATTAATCTAAAATATAGGACATAGCTGTTTTTTATATCACAACGTGATGGTAACATGGCCAGACCATACTTTAAGACTTAACTGTACAGTTGTGAAAAAATAAATAATTTTTTTTTCAAGTTGGTATTTTAAGTCAATGTGTAATGAATAAAAACCATGGATTTTTAATAAAAAAATTTCTTACCCATTTTTTTACACGAAAAAATAATTGATTTTTGTACTACGCTCGAAAAAAACTGATCAAAAGATTTTGAGATCAGTTTTTCAAAGAAAGTGACACATATTTAGTATCAAAGAAGAATTTTCAGAACAAAAAAAAACATTTTCTTATTTTTTGTTCGTGTACAATTATCTACGTATCTTCGAAACTAAAGATAACTTTCAGTAACCTAAAAAACTACTGCCAATTTACTGGCACAAAGTTCTCTTGAACTACGGTTTTCTTTCAACAATCAAGCTTGATTTATCTCCTGAAATGTAATGTACAACTCTTTATTCTTCAATTAAATGGCTGCTTATTTCATTAATAATGTCGAACGTACACTAATATTGTGGACAAAAAATATGTGATTCTTATACAAAAAATTAATTAAAAAAAAAAATAAAGTAATCAAACTACCATAAATTCATACTGTAATGATAATTTTATGTACGAGTAATACATATTATCTTATCAGAATAAATTTGATTGAATTACTATACATATACATATATTCCAGTGAAAATTTAATTGAGAATAAATTACATTTTTTTTTATTAAGTATCCATAGTGAGGTGAAAAATTGTATTTTTACATTTAGTCTGCAATGAATATAAGAAAACGAATATTTCCAGAAATAAATCATTAAAATCATTCAGCTGGTTCCTGAGATATAACTAATTAAAAAACCGTAGGATTTCAGTAAAAAAAAAATTCTTATATTCTACCAGAATAACTTGGAATAAAGACTTTACTCAACTTAATCATTTTATAAAACAATTTTGATTTTATACCCGAAATATAGCAAGAAATCTTTAAAAATCATAATCGAAAAATAGTTTGAAGATCCTTGGTGGGGTCCAAAATGGTAGTTATATTCTAAGTAAATATTATCATTTAAAAATAAATATTGAAAGTCCTGGAATTAATCAAATAATTTAAAAAAAAATATATATTTTAATGGTTTTTCATTTTATAACGCAATTGTTTAGTATAATGAAGGAAAAAATTACACGTCTTTTATAATATCCATTGCGAGTAGATGTTTCCCTTGCATGCAATCATACACAAAGGAAGGTAATTTCGCGGTAAAAAAAAAAAATTAGTAGGGATATTTTTCATCTTATTTCTTCAGGGCTCGACAGCATTTTTATTACTTTTTCTCTCGAAACAAAAGTCGATGTATATTTAAAAAAGAGCAAAAAGCAATTTCACTTCGTCTCAAAACAAATAATTAGTTCCGCAAACTTGACGCGTAATAGAGAAGCTAACGCAGCAACTGTGCCATGTCGCGTCGCAGTGGCCGCAATTTCAGCTGGATTGTGTTGATTTTTATTATCCTCGCGCTTCAGCCGAGNAAATATAATAATAATAAAATACTTCATCTAATTTTTAGGGGATGATACCAATATTGTGTGTTGTACTTTGCAGTAGACTTGCCTGGTAGTTTTTTACACAAATTCAGCATCCAATTAATTTTTACTAATTAATAAAAATACCATGAAAATATTATACTCAACGTACCGACCCCTCATTAAATCGTACTACTGTTCATTAAGCTTTCAGTTCTATAAGTTAGCTCAATTGATTTGTTTGATTAATTAAAAAGATTAAAAATTGGTTCACAAAATATTACCCACACACCTGGGTTTTACCCCGAATATTTTTCAGAAAATACTCGTCCACCCATTGTCGCCTAGCTCCATCTGATAGGGCTCAATATTATTCTCATATTCGCTATTCATATTCGATGCCCTGGTAGGTATAACGCAGTGGACAATACCAGGCCTCCCTCTCAAATAACTCGCTTCCATACTGCTTGTCTCCTCATAAAAGGGGATTTCAAGGCATTGTGTTAAATGAATTTAGAATCGACCAGAATGTAGAGGAGGGTAGGAGACAGTTCAGAGCGATATTGGTTATTAATTTTCTGGAGTTTGCTGTTCACTGAAAAATTAAAATGTAAAAGTGTAAAGGCAAAAATAATGGCTGGTTTTTTGTGGGTATTTTTTATGAATAAATTTCTTTTGTGGGTTGGCGGTTACGACCTGAAAAGCATATTTCAGTATATATTTTTTTTTAGCTGGGCACTGTCGCTTCTATGAGTATTTGGATTTTTTGGGACATGGATATAGTGGTGTGAGGAGATCGATGCAGATAATTCCTTGTATAGATACTTGGAAACAGATATTATAGTTTCTGGTGTTTAATGACACAAAAATTTCATATTTAAATTAAACCTGTATTTTTTTGTTCAGCACAAAAATATTACTACTATATTTTCTGAATCTCTCGTTTTTATTTAAATTTTGAAAGGTTAACAAAAGATCTTAGTTCTTTAGAGCTTCAGTCGAAAGAAAGTCTTCTGCTAAAGAGTATAAATATTTTTTTTATTATATTGGGCGTTAAAATTAAGATCACAGACAGTAGCTACAAACTGTACATATGAAATTTTTTTTCTTTTCCGATATATATTCCAAGATCACGAT